TCTCTCCTATTTTCAACTACAATCTTCCATAAAATAATAGTACACGTAAATTGAAAATATTTCATTCTTTTTCAACCACTTATTTTTCAAAAAAACACTATTCTATCCATTAATTTTTCCACGTAATGGGGGCCAAACAGGGGCATAATACTTGACATACGCTTGGTGTTTTAAAAAATTGTTGGAGGGAAAACTGTTCTTTACTTGAAATTGTCAAATGACAGTTTGCCACATGGCAAACTATCAAACTTAATGTATACCAAACGTGATTCTAGGTAAAGATAGAATTTATCCGAAAGTAACTTGTACATTGTTGAACAATAAATGCACAACTTAATTCTATTTAATTTACAGGACCAATATTTCGTCTCGATTTTAACTCTTTTTCTTGAACAAATACCCATCGAATCATGCCATGCAAGGTACTATATATCTACTACATGTCATTTTCCTTGAGACGACAATTGGACAAACATGTGACAATGTAATTGATCTTCATCACTTCGGGGGCAAATTTTAGTGGTACATAGGATTATGTCACGTAACAATAGTTGTAATTAATTCAAGAATCGACTAAGATATATTATCAAGCCTTTATTATTAGAATGTACAACAGCCTCTGTTTGACAATCATTTAATAATTTTTTTTCTTGAATTCATTTTTAACCACATTCTCACAATAAAATATTTTACACATAAATATTTTTATTGAAAGAATATGTTGTTAAAAATGAGTTTAAAAAAAATCTTTAATGATTGTCAAACAGAGGCCTAAGATTGCTTGTTTAGAAAACTCTTATACAAGAAGTAGAAGTAAAAGAAAAAATAGCGTCAAACGAACCATTAATAATAATAGTGTTTTATACATAGGGTTGAGATGGATTAGTAGGAACAAGTTGCATGTGTACATCAAATTGTTAATGTGTTGTCAGTGTCAACATTCCTAACTGAATAAAGCTATTTATATAGATAAAGCTAAAGAAAGCATTACAGATTCTTAATATGAAAGACTAATATGAAAAAATAATAAAGGAAAAAATTCACAAGTCATGTATTAAGTATGGTCAATTCAATTTTCATGTTTTAAGTTTCAAAATTCAAAAATCAGGTGTTAGTTAATTAATTAAAAATACTTAATTAATTAAATATATTAAAATTACAATTATACAATTCATAGTTACAGATACCTACTTACGGATCACAATGTCACATTTATCAAATTTATTGATCACAGATTATTTCATTATCACAAATCAGAAAATTATAGGTCACAAATTTATTTGTCGGTCATAGATTTTCAAATTAGTTGATCACAAAAATTTTCACTCACATATTCTCATATTTTTATGTCACAATTGAATATTTGGTCACGAATAACCAAGTAATTAGTCTCATACACCAAATAATAGGTCACGTGCCATCGTTATCGTCACTACGATCACTTGCGACCACCCTCACCTCACTACCACTGCAACAGCAGCAACACCACAATACCACCACCAACAAAAGTCGCCACCACTAGATCCAATTCACTGCTAAGAAAAATCACCACAACCACCACTATCAGATCTCCAACCACAAACAACCACCTCCACTCACATATTAACTATTTGATAGGTCAAAAATGTCAACCCCTCCAACAGAAATACACTGCCATCGCCATCACCTCCACCACCATTGCCACTGCCACCATCATTTTGCAACCCACCAACAAACAATCTACACCACTACCATCGCACCACTACTACCTCACTACCACCACACATAATATCCAACACCACCTATAGCACCAACATTTTACCTTCTTTAGACCATCATATTTGCCACCGTCTCATATCTTCCAAACCACCTCAAAATACCCAAAACTAGTTTAGATAGTTGGGACATCAAAAGAAGCAGGTTCTCACAGAGCCCCTATCGAATTGTAGCAACGGCGAGCTCAATGCCTCTGTCAGCACTCACACTGTCGATAGCGAGGGCGCTGCATAGTAGCAAAGATGTAGATACTCAACTCTCACATCAAGCGAGGCCTCTTAGTGACGCTCGGAGGTAATGCGATGCTGCTGCGAACGATAGTGTTGACGGACTACAGCGTCGTGATGCTATAGTTCGCAGCAGCGTCCACCGGTGATATTGCTGAGAACTCTCAGCAACCCCCGATGCCAGCAGCGTTGATCGACGAAGATCCTTCATCATCTATTGCCAGCGTTTGAAGAGAGAGAAGTGAAAGAAACGAAGAGAGAGAAGAGGGATAAGGAAATAATTAGGGTTTGGGTGGATGCAGTTAAAAAGTTTAAATTGTTACCTGATTTTTGAAAAAAAAAAAATTTAATTTGATTTTTGAATTGTGCATTTTAAAATTCTTGGTATTTGTAATCTCCTCAATAATAAATTTTAAGTATAACTCTAGCTCAAATGCTACTTTAGCCAACTTTAACTTCATTTTCAGCTCAAGTACAATGTTAAATTGTCCAAAACTAGTTAAATACTATGTAATAATTAAACATTCATCTATTAACATTAGTGCAATGCGAAAACAACTCGTTACCGAGTTAGATATTTTATTTCATGTATGTTTGATCAAGTTTAAAAGGGTCACTTACAATTAAATAAGTAAATTTTATAATAAATCATATTTGTATTGAAGTTAAATATAAATAAATTATTTTAACAGTAAGAGAGATACATGTTTTTTCCCTTCACATTATTTTATATAATCCTTGTATGTATCATTTTGTTGTAGAAGTAGCATAATCTATTAATTATTTTAGGAAAAATTGCAGCCACGATATCAAATCTTTTGTTTATTAGCAGACTTTGCTCAAATCCTTCATTTGTACCACCATAGGTACCAAACCTTTAAAAAATTTACAATTCAAGTCCAAAATAACAATTTCCGTTAGTTTAACTACCAAAATCATCAGTTGACTCCCAAAATAAAAAACTACATTATTTTCCCCAATGTTTTGAAAATCGAACCTAATTGTTCGGTCTAACCGGAAAAAACCTTGAACCGTTACAAAAATTGGTTCGATTTATGCCTAGAAACTGAATTCTTAAAATTCAGACAAAAATCAACCAACTAGCTGTCTAACTGTAAAAAGCAGTCCACCTGCACCTGGTTTTAACCGTTTAAACATTAACTTTTTCTTATAAAAATTTTGATAACTTCTTTTACCAGGACAAGCTTTAAGGCCCAAATGATGTTCCAATCAAAATTTTGACAACTTTGATTAGAAGACCCAAAAGGTGAATGCCACATAATGGATTCAAGCCCCTTTTTATATCCACTTCTCAAGTATTGAAGTTGAACTTGCAACCGATGTGGGATTGGTGAGGGTTTTGGGAATATAAGCTAGCCTTTTTTATATCCTTTCCCTAGTATTGTAGTTGAATTGAAAAACCGGGAGGGTTTTGGTTTAACAAGGTGGAATATGCTTCACTTATTTTCTCATTTATTTATTATAATAACAAACTAAATCCCGTAAAAATATTTAATCGTCTCAACTACTAATACTTTTGTCTATTTTGTTATCTCATTTTCTATTGATATTAGAAGTGAGACCTAATAAAAATTTAAAAATTAATTGCAATCAAATTTATTAAGTGATGATTGTTATATCTATATACAAGTCATTTTTTGAAAAAAAAAATATTATGTCAAATTTTGTTATATATTTATATAGACCCTTTAGCTTTTTCGAGTCTATGGTCGGGTCAATTTTCAAAACATTGATTTTTCCCAAATAAGACAGTGACATTTTGTATAAAAACATTTCCCCTATTAAATAAAAGAATTTTAAAAAATAAAATAAAGTCACAACCCATTCCCATCTCATTCTTCCCCAAAATCAAAACCACTCTATCCAGCTGTCACTACCACCACTACCCACCCAACACGGCATCACCACCATTCCTCAGTAGAGACAATATTTTGAGAAGTAAATTGACTAAAGAATCCTCCGAGGAAGCTAAAATTAAGAAATATGTTCCCAAGTATTTGAAGCTGATAAAGCCTCTACATGTTTAGGTATCAAAATGACAAATCGAAGTTATCTAATTCCATAGTGCAGTAAGGCTGAATCTGTTTATCAATGAAGGTGGGAATCCGGTGAGTGTCTCAGTGGCACAAATGCATGTACTGAGTAGAAATCAGGCAGTGCCGATGAGGAAGTCCCGGAGATAACCGACAACAAACATTTCAACCGAAACGACAGAAGTCTCACCTGAGATGAAGTCTTCTGATGCTGGAAAAAGGAATTTGTCGTTCTAGGTAGGATTTTTGCATTGGATTGGTCAACCTAGGCGATGGCGTAAGCTTGCATCCAATGCAGGTTAGTGGATACCATAAGTTGATCTCTAAAATATTTGTTTCCTTCCCCATCAATATGAAAATTCGTATTGTTCTCTCTCAAAATCTTGCTCTTTCTCTCTCTAGTAATACATACATATCAGAGTGGAGAGAAGGATATTATCCCCAAAAATGGAAATGGAGGGAAATGAACATAATGGCTAGGGGAACCAAACGTGTTTGGATTTGAACTTGGATTCGGGTGGTGGTGATGCCGATGTTTGGTTGATGGCTCGATAGTGGTTGTAGCGGTTGGATGGAGTGGTTATGGGGATGGGTTGTGGCTTTATTTTTATTTTTTAAATTTTCTTTAATTTTTGATTTAAGAGGGAAAGTATATTTTATCCAAAATGCATCTGTCTTATTTGGGGAAAATAATAAAAAATTTATTTTGAGAGTCAAACTAACAAAATTGTTATTTTGGACTTGAGTTGTAAAATTTTTAAAGTTTAATACTCACAGTGATATAAATAAAAGATTTGTACAAAGTCTACGAATAAACGGAAGAATTGATCCTGTGGCTGCAAGTTTTCCTTTCAATAATTCAATCCACCAGTCGCTACAAATTGAACTTCAAATTCCTCTATCCTGAATCTTATCTATTTTCTCCACGTGTGAATTATGCATGAAAAAGACCAACCGTGGGACCTGCACACAGCCAACTACACTGATCGGAGCGTGTAGACAAGCCCATCTACCAGCCCGTCATCAAGATAAATAAAGACATCGTATGGTTGGCACGAGGGAAATTGCTTTAGCCAGCACATAGAAAATCTAACGTCAAACAGAATCCAAACCTCCAACCGGGTGCCGTCAGCTCCACCTCCGCCTCCACCATCACCATCAATTGGTGCCTTCGAACCCGTATGTCATCAACCCTCCACCGCCACTACTGATTTTTCTTGATTATTCTTTAATTGATACGATTTGTGCTGCTAAATACAGGTAGTCATGCCCAGAAAAAGTGCAGAAGAAACAGTGAGAGTAGAAGAAGAATATGATGAAGAATCAAAGGATTTGGAGAAAGGTGGGACGAATATTCAAGAAGCAGTTCAAATTCATCACCGAAGAGAATTTCATATGTCAAGAATGCAAAAATTGAGTGCTACAAATCCTTTAAGACTTGTCGTAGAAAATGGAACAAGAGTTGCCTCTCCCTCTCCTTTGCAGCACCCTCCTCCTCGCCCTTTTGCCTCTCCTCCTCGCCCTTTGCAGTACCCTCCTCCTCGCCCTTTGCAGCACTCTCCTCCTCCCCCTTTTGCCTCTCCTTCTCCTTTGCAGCACCCTCCTCCTCGCCCTTTTGCCTCTCCTTCTCCTTTGCAGCACCCTCCTCCTAGCACTTCTCCTTCTGTTTCTCCTCCTTTGCAGCAGCCTGTGCCTCGCTCTACACCTACCCCTCGTGTAAGTATCAACATTTAACAAATATTTTTTGTGTTTTTCTTGAAAATAATTTCTGGAATTTTGTATTTCTTGACCAGCAATCAGTGGTAACACTGAATTCAAGATCATACACAAACAAGATTTCGCTGTTTTTGTTCCTTGTGCATATCATTGTTGCAATTGGTCTGGTGGGATTTCTTATATTTAAAGGAGTGCAAGGCCTAATAGAAGAAGGGAGGGTTCAAAGACAAGAGAAAGAACTGTTGAGGTATTTTCTACCACAGGTCGAGACTGCATCTTTTCTTAGCATTACATTAGCATTTCTTTGGCAAAAGGCAGTGAGAGTATGGCCTAAATTAACGGTTCATTTCATAATTTGGAGTTCTTTTGGCCTTACTTTATCGGCCGGAATCCTTCTAATTTGCTTCCAAAGGCCTGCTACAGATGGTGTTGGAGTTCTTTTTATCGCTTTCGCCATTGGTAATGGACTGTATGCTTGTTGGGTTACTCAAAGAACTAGTTTTTGCTCCAAGATTTTCATTAAAGCTCTTGAACCAATGTCGAAATTTCCCGACTTAAATCACCCCACTTATTTGATGCTTGGTGCTGGATTTTTGTGGATGTCATTTTGGATTTTAGCTGTTATGGGGGCGTTGAATTTCTATGTTCCTCCACTGATTATATTTGCATTGTTATTGAGCTTGGCTTGGACTGCTGAAGTTATGAGGAATGTGGCAAATTTAACAGTGAGTAGGGTGATTGCTCTGTATTACCTAAGAGGAATGCAATCTATTACTAAATTTTGCTTCCAACGAGCGTTATCTAACAACCTTGGGAGTGCTTGTCTCGGCTCCCTTTTCGTGCCTGCGATTGAAGCCCTGAGAATTGTGGCACGTGGCCTCAATTTGATTGAGGGAGAAGATGAATTTATGTTTTCTTGTGCACATTGCTGCCTCAATGTAATGGAATCCATCTTCAAACGAGGCAATGGTTGGGCCTATGTTCAGGTATAATCTTATTCTTGTCATTGCATAAGCATTCTAATTGTGTTCTTTACAATTCTCAATGTGTTGTATTATATTAGATTATATTAGATATGCTGAAGGCTCTGCCAGGTACACGACGCAGTAGGGTGTCGAAAAATGAATTGACCCATCTTTTTGCTCTAAAACGTTCTCTCGACCATGGATGGTAGTATCTGATACGCACAATTTCTGCAGATTGCTGCATATGGAAAAGGTTTTGTGCAGGCATCACAAGATACATGGGAGCTTTTTCTGAAGAGAGAAATGGAACAAATTGTTGATTCTGATATTACAAGTGCCATTTGCTTTCTCACTGGAGTTTGCAGCGGCTCGATATGTGTAATTGTGGTTGCTGCTTGGTCAGCCACCGTGCACCACCGCTACACAGCCACCCTCTCCGTCCTGGCCGCCTTCATCGGGTACCTAATGGTTGGTGCACTCTCCCAAATGACCATTAATAATTTAGTCAATCCTCTTTACATCATAATAATGCATTCAAATAATGTGATCAACTTGGAATTTTTTTTAATTTTTCTAGTGGTGGTTGATTAATTAACATTTAAGACAAATGTTTTTCTAATGTGCTTGTAGACTAGGATTGCCATGGCAGTGCCTCAAGCATGTGTGAGTTGTTACTATGTTTGCTACGCTGAGAATCCTGATAGCAGGCTATTCGATAAAATGATACCCGACCGTATCCAATTGCTAAAATCTGGTCGTGATGTTGTACCGACACCTCGGGTGCCTCCACGTTTTACAAGATAAGTAGATTCGAACAAACAATCTCCGTTTCTCAATGGACGCATATTCCAAGCCTTTATGTTAACATGGGCTAAGGTGCAAATCAATTTTATGCTGAAAATGAAGGACTTAAGTTTGTGTTGATCAAAGTGACATACACGAGCCGTTGAGCCATGATGCAAACCTCCACGGTATATTGAACTGGAAAAGACTGAACAAGATTAAAGAGAGAAGCTTTGTCAATTCTCCGGTGAAGTACCGAATTTATATAGTGGGTGGGGATGAGGAGTACCTGATGGGAACTAAACAAAGGCTACATTGAGAGAAAGTGTCCTTTTATGGTATTATGCTTTTGGGATATACGATGCTGTCTGTCCCACCACTATTTAATTGTCATGATACTTTGGTCACATTCATTTATGTAATCTTGTGAGAATCAACTTGAGGATTTTTATCCTCGTGTTACTGGAATTTTCATGTAAAATAAGAGTTGCTAGTTTCTAGGTGCTTCTTGATACTGTACTGTTCAATATTTGAATCCAAAGTTGACCCGTAAATGAAAGGTAGTTTTACAATTTAGGGAAAATTAGGGTCGGCTTCCTAACCTTTTAATTGGCATAGTTATGAATTTTCATCCTTCAAAAGTAAGACTTTGGATCTTCAACATGGGAAAAGTTGTGACCCGGATATTTTAGTCTACAAACAAACAGCCAATCCAAGGCTTCAAAGACGGGGTGTGACTCTTCGGATCATAAATCTTCCCATAGGATCGTGATGGTTTGCAGTACAATTCTTGATGCTAAGGATCCTTATAAGAGGCAATAGCGATGCATACTCACATAATTATACTGTTAGTTGATTTGCATGACTTGTGTTTAAGACAAATGCTAGAATTTTAGATGCTAGTGAGAAAGCAAGAAGATTTAGAAACTCATGATAAATTCGACTTTCCCCGTCACTTGAAGCAAGAAAGTAAAAATGTCAAATAACTTAAAGCTGGGTATATTTTTAAAGTCAACGTTGACAGTTCGGGCAATTCTACCCGAATTCACATCATAAGTAAGTTAGGAATCTATAAACTCAATATAACCATACCACAGGAAAAGTGGAGTAGAATCCTATTTTTCTCTACAATTTAATTTTCTTGTTTGTACATTTTTAATGGTTTTGAGCCTTCTACAAAAAGTTTTGAATTCAAGTATTACAATTGAATCTTTAATTTCTTGAATGAAAAAAAAAATGCTCATATTTGCACAATGCTTGGACTAATCTCAAGTAATATTCCTATTTGCATACCCCCGCCCCCCTTTCTAAAAGAATAGCATACCCCAAATTATTGATTATATCATGTATTAAATGAAATAATATAAATTTCACAAGAAATTTGTCTAAAATGGAGTTGGAAAGTCTTGGGGGTAACGGTTATTGGTGGGCAATAACTTGGTTTCTAAATTCCCGAATTTACTTCTGTTTTTTAAAAGAAACCATGGAATAAATAAAATTACAGTCGCATAAAAAGGAAAACCCTAAAATATATATAAATGAACAAATGCATGGAAAAGACATTCTTGGAGTGGAAAAAAATAACATTGTTGAATCTATTGCTCTTTTGCATTGGCAAAGCCGTTTTATGTATAAATTAATGTTCATAATTTTATGTGTATTATAAACTAGAGAGAACAAAAGAAAGAAGTCAATAAATTTGTGTGTTTTATTAAGTACCAAACCCTCATATTTATATGAAAGAATTAATGCTACAAGGGATACAAGTCATAATGATTAGGAATGCTGGAGTATAAAAATAATTCGGTATAAAATTGATTTATAAATACTCTTATATTTACAATACTTTCCCTTTAATGACTATTTGCAAATAACTATCTCATTGAAACATTATTTGGTAAAAACTTGATTGGACAAAAATGCTAACAAATGAAAAAATAATACAAATAATTTGGAGTAATAGACTGTTGTATTGTTAAAACCTTATCAAGAAAATCCAATAGGACAAAATGTGAACGAACGAAAAAGAGTACATCTATTCCCCTTTATTTTAATTCTTGTATCAAACAATCCATGTATTGTATGTCAATGTTTTCAATATTGATGTCTTGTATTTCAATATCTTTAAGAAAATTCAATGGGACAAAACTTGATGACTGTAACATGATGAATCAAAAAATAACTCTTGTCAATCTCTTCAAGAGTCTCATACATATCAAATTATTATTTTGATAATAAATATCTTATATGTTATGGACATTCACCACATAAAGAATGTACCTCATTAAAACTTTATTAGAAAAAGTCCTACGAGAAAAATTCTAATGAAGGAACAAGAGTACATTATCATTTTGAAAACGATACAGAGGTTGTCTCATTAAAAACATTGTAAGAAAAATTCAATGGAACAAAACTTTGATCAAGGAAAAAAGAGTACAACAAGTATTTACTCTCCATCATGATAATATCACTTAGATTATGCTTCAAGCATAATAAATCCTTCAAGGATAACATTTATAGTAATGCTAGATGATTTGACTATAATGTATTCAACATTTCATGCATTATCAATATAACATGATATGGACTCGTAATTTCATCTACCGTAATCTTTATGAAATTCACTATGTTGAGAATCGTGCATTACATATTACAACTTTATTTTTCTTATTTCCTTTTCGCATAAGTATATACCTTTATATTTTTAGACTGTATGTCCAGAAACTTCAGATTTTCTAGTAAATTCAATTAAGGATTGCGTCCTTTTTATTGGGCATAAGTATATGATATGGACTCGTAATTTCATCTACCGTAATCTTTACGAAATTCACTATGTTGAGAATCGTGCATTACATATTACAACTTTATTTTTCTTATTTCCTTTTCGCATAAGTATATACTTTTATATTTTTAGACTGTATGTCCAGAAACTTCAGGTTTTCTAGTAAATTCAATTAAGGAACGCGTCCTTTTTATTGGGCCAATTATTACTTAGATCGATATATTTCGACGTGTTTATCTCGATTCCTTTCTATATGATGCAGTATATCATGTGCAAAAGTATTGTAGAAATTTTTTTCTTTTTTTTTATTCTATTCTTTTCTATAATGACATAGCTTATTAAGATATCTCAAGTTTCATTATTTCAGATACCTGAACCTCTTCTAGATTTTTTAATTTGTTATGTCTAAATACTAATCAAAAGTATATGATTCCTTAAAGAGACCATCTTTGCTAATTGTTCCATTTTCGTTTGAAGAATTTTATATTAGAGTCGAATATAATCACGCTTCAGGCGTGCCATCAAATATTTTATTAATTAATTGTCCTCTATGATGTTAATTCTAGTTGAAGCATTTGAAACTAATGTGTGAGATATTCTTGATCTCTTTGATCAGTAAATACATCTAAATGAATTATCTTTCGAACGATCTTTATGAGGACATAAATAATAATGCATTTATACATTATTTTCAACTTCTTAATTCATCTCCCTAATGTTGAGAGAAGTATCCAATCAAAATTTATAATCTGCAAATTAAGTTATTAAATATCACCCATTTGAAATAAAAATTAAAACCACGCATTTCTTTTCAACATTCTTTACTTTTTATCTTAGTACAATGTGGTTGATTAATTGCACTATCAAATAATCTGATGAAAAAATAAAGCTCTGACCATAATCCAATTACAAAGAGAAAAACTGTGATATTGGATTGATGCGTCATAGCATTCTCTAAACAGAAATGGGAAGAATATTATTTTCAATAGCATTAAACAATTTATCGACATTTCAACTAACACTTCCACAATTTAAAATTTTGTGCAGTAAATTTGCAAATTTCACTTTATGAATACTATGCAATCATCTAGTATATGTATCAAATATATTATCTACGAATAATATTTAGATTAATTAAATTTCAAAAATATAGGAAATCCAGTCTCTATTTTAATTAGTGATGTTTAATGATTAATTGTCGATAACGAGAACAAATAATATATCAAAATTTATTAAATTGAAGAATCTTTTGGTTATTTGTTGAATGTCCATGGGAATTTTTAGTTGCACAACATTATTGATCCAATGACAATCCAACTGTTCCTACCAAAAAAATAAATAAATTGAATTTCTAGTTCAATATAAGATATAATTCAATATTTAATTTCGAAGAATATGACTAAACTTTGTATAATCATATAATAGTCAATCAAGTAGACAGCCAATTAATGCTAGTATGACATGAGTTATATGTTTCTTTTAATGATAAACATGAATTCAAAATTATATATTTTTCGAAAAATATGTTACTTAGAGAGCACATTGTTTTTTATTATTACGTCTTCAAGTATAATATATCAATATTCTTCTGAAATATTGAAAATTATAATTCATATTCTTAAAGAGCGACAAATTAATATATTTCTTAAATACTAATAATATAAAAATTATTTTCTTTTAAATTTATTTATAAAAATTAATTACCAAGCATGCATTAGAAAAAATAATCTTCGTATATTGAAATCAACAAAATTGACTAAATCCAATATTGTCTAAATATTTTACCACTATGCAAAAAACACCAAACATGTACGTGAATTCCACATATATAGAAATTAAAGGTAGAACTAATATGTGACATAATCAAAAGGCAGAATTACTGTGTGAATAATATGTAGCACAATTGATTGTGAATGAATCAAAAGACATGAATTAATGGTAAAGCATGATTCACTTAATAAATCATGAATTAATATGTGCACAGATTACACATACAAATGTAAATTAAAATTATTATACATATAGACAAAAAGCAGAGAAGCAACCTTGTTATAATACATATTTACTTTGAAAGAATTCACATATCACAAAACTAATTTTCTTACACGTGATAGATGATTATGCTTATAAAAATTATTACTTTGTAACTAATTTACTTTGATTTAAAGAGAACCGTGTTGATAATATGTTATAAATTAGATAACAAAAAAAGAAAAACCAATAAACATGTGTGTTTTATTAAATAACAAAACCCCATATTTATAGGGATGATTAGGGCAACAAGAGATATAATAGTCATAATGATTAGGTCTAGTCCTGAGGCTAGGCAAATGAGGCCTATGCCTTAGGCCCAAAATCCGGGGGGTTCATATTATGCGTAGAAATTATTTTTTTTAGTTGAAAAATGCCAAACCCAAGAGCAGCTCACAACTTTCAAGCCGAAATCCAATTCTCCTAACCTTAATCCATTTACCCAACTGGCCAACCCAACTTATATATCCATAATCCATTTATCCAAAATTCCCAAATTCCAAATCGAAATCCCATTTTTCCCAAACGCTCGTTTGAGTCGTCTCCATCACTTCTGTGACTCTGTCTCTCTTCTCGACTTCTCATTCCAGATTTTCTCTTCGTCGGAGTCCCAGACGTCGGTTCCAGAGTTCGCCCCTATTGGCAATTGGCTGTTAGTGGAGTATGTTACATTATTAATTCCGTTTGAGTTATTTGATTACATTTACACTCACTGTCCACTGTTTGTCACTCATTAGTTCATGTTTCCGTTTCTGCATAATACATTGTTGTTTATAAGTATTCAACTATTCAATTATTCCTTTTACCTTTTAATTATTATAATTTTGATGATTTGATTTTAATTGATAAATGCTCTTTTTCTTTGTAGGCCGTGGGGTAATGGGTATATTGATTGGAGAGAGCTCAAAGAGGCTTCGGTGTTAATGTGTTATCTAGGATGGAGTCAAGGACCTGAAACTGCTATAAATATGTTTAATGATTATTGATGAATATATAATTTATTGAACAAGTTTGAAATGAAGAACTCTCAGATCTCAAGTAATGTGTAAAATAGTTATAGTTAATTTCAAATTTTAGTAACTTAGTTTGATAGGTAAGATGTGAGAACACATAGTTGAGAATTTGAGATATTATTATGTCAATAAACTCAAGAAAAGATAAATTCAGTTTCTACAGCTAGTATACTAATTTGAATTAATTTATTTTGTTGATGACTCTGTTTTAATGGTGATTAGTTCTTCTTAAATGTTTTATTTCCTAAGTTTGATTAAATGTGTGCCTGTGCAATTGTTATTTCCCTCAGTTTGATGATCATGTTCATATTTGTATTGGTGTTTAATGTTAAAATTTTATTTAAGGCTCATGAGTTGTGACGATGGAATTCTCGAGGGTGTGATTCCACATGCCCTAACTTGTTATTGAAGAAGGGATTGGAAATATTTGAAGCCTTGTCGGCTTGTATAATTGCGGCCTTGTCTGCTTATATGATTAATTATTGTAGGATCAACAAGTACACAGGCGCACATAATAATTATATTGAAAACTCTAATTGTGAGATGATTGTGATATTTTGTAATTGTATTTAACTAATTGTTCGAGACATTGTTGGTTTTGTTATTTTATAATATAAATCTTTTATATAATACTAGTTTGTTGCCCGTGCATTGTACGGGTGGAGTTATTTTGAAGGTAAAGTTGCTGTTGAATGAGGTAAGGAAAATGAACTTAATTTGATGTGGTCAATTTACATATGATTTTACTCTTTGAAAACTAGAGATGAAGCATTTAAAGTGCATGAAGAAATGAAGAGACATAATGGAATCAAAATGAGGAAACAACCAGGTAGCGTCTTATGCTAATTATTGTAACAAAGTGTCTAGCCTTCGTGCTATTCCATTGGATATTATTGTAAACCTTAGTAAGGTCCAAAGGAGCAGTCAAAGGGTAATAATATTATATCTGGAGAGGGAGAGAGAGAGAGAGAGAGAGAGAGTGTGTGTCTAAACTTGATAACATTGGCATACCAAATGTGAAGATCTATTGTATACAATAATGGCAATCCAACATGTGTATGCAACTTGAAAAATGGTTTAAAGAAAAATACGAGAAGATCATACTCCTAGATAATTATTGATAGGATATACCTCAGCATATCAAAAAAAGTTTCTTTATATGTGTTGTAATTATGATCATCATATTGGATTGATTGCTGATGATTTTATATGTGGGCTTTGTTATTTCAAAGATAATGTTGACGTTTCTGGAAGATAGATTTTATACCTCTTCTTTTAGTGACTTCAACCCAACAAATTTTTCTCATAACTAAGTAATGGAATAAGTTTACTTTGATTACCTATTTTAAAATCACCTAAAACCTAGGCCAAATCCCTGATTTATTTTTCTGGTCTTTCGAACCAAGTTAGTGTATTGACCAAACAAGAACCAAATGAATCCTGAGCATACATTGTAAACTGTTACATAGCTAAACGATCAAGCCAATGCGTAATACTGTGGAACTAATCATAGATGGGAACGCGAACACCCACAATAATGTATGATATATCAAGTGTGGAAACCAATAGG